GTCCCGGCCCCCACCCCCTCAGTGACCCGGACCCCCTTTCCCGGGAGCAGTCGGGGTGCTCTGGTCCCCACAAGAGCCGCAGGAGTGACTGGAAGCAGATGTGGTCGCTCGTTGTGGTTTTTCATTGGGAACAGAATCAAACCCTACGCTTCAGGTGTTTATGTCACTCCAACCTCGTACCGAGTCTTCGTCAAGAGTTTCCGCAAAAGCCTCTGACTCCTTTACAGACGGTGGCACGCCGTCGCCATGGGGGCACCCAGCACGTGCCAGCTCGCTCGGCGCCAGCCCGTCCCCCGTGACCGGGTTGTCCGGGCTCGGGGTCCCTTGTGCAAAGCTCGATGAGGCTCAGGCAGCCATCCCGGGCTCCAGTTAAGAGCCTGCGGTCCCCTCACGACGGAGGGTCTAGGAATTACACGTCACGACGCCCTGCACCCCACCCCTGGGAGGGGGCGCTACCGGCATCTCCCGGTGAGGCCGGCGATGCTGCCGGAGAGCCCGCGGTGTGCGGGCCGGTCCCCACGGCAGCCGCGGCTGTGGCCCGAGATGTCCACGGCGCCCAGGCCCAGAGGCCGCTTGGTTTTGTCTTGGGAACGTTCAGTCGCTGAGCCATGTTTTCGGTCTGGTCTCTGCTGGGTGACTCGTGGTGGCTGAGGGTGGGCAGAGGCCAGATCGCGCGGCCTCCTGGCTGGGAGGGGAGCTGTGTCACCGTCCCGCCCCTGGCGGGCACACAGACAAGAGCGAGAGCGAGGGGCCCCCCGGAGGCGGAGGCTCTAGTGCCCGTTTCCCCGCCTACGACGCCCTCCCCCAAAACCGACATCCAGAGACCGCCGAGGGTCTGGGCTGTGGGACGACAGCGGTCTCACCGAGTCGCGACACTAACCGAGCGCTTGCGTTTCAGTGCCCGCGGCGGTCCCCAAGACGACCTCGGAGACCCTCAAGCACAAGATAAACCCTTCGGCGGGAGAGACCCTGCCGCACGCCGTGGATGTCTTGCTCTACACGCCCGGTAGGAGGCCTGCCCTCGCTCGGGGCTGCTCTGTGTCCGGCACTTTGGGGAGCTCGGTTTGCGTTTGGGGTCAGCCCTGAAGTGGGGGGACGGGACGCGACAGGGCGAGCGGGGACCAGGTGGGGGTCTCGTTGTTCGGGTGAGGCCCTGGGCGACGAGGCGAAGCCGGGCGGCTGCTTGTGCCCTCCGCCTCGGGAAGGCCAGGCCCCAGGGAGCCACGGCGGCCCCACCGGGGCGAGCGCCCCACGGAGACTCCGCTCCCACCTAGCCATGCCTCACGTGGCGCAGCACTCTGCAGTTTAGAAAGCGCCTCCACTCACGTCCTTTCTTTTGGGGGCGTTTAACCTGGGCCTGCTTCCACTGTGATGAAGGACTGCGCCCAGGGTCTCGCGTTAGAGACTGCAGGCGTGTTTCCCTTGCCCGTCCGAATGCCCGACAACACGGTTCCCCTCCATGTGGCGAGGCTGTGGCCCTGCGTCCGGCAGACCTCCCGGCCGAGGCGCAACGGAGGACGGACGGGAATTGGTGCCGCGAGGGGCCTCAGCCTGAACACAGACCGCCGTCGTGTCACAGGCGCAAAACCGTCGAAAATGCTCTGGCTTAAGTCTGACTTGGAAAGCGCTGTGGGGCGGGCCGCTCTGAGGGCGCAACGTGTTGGAGAGCAAAGGACTTCGTCCTGGGCAGAAAAGAACCTGTGGTCTGGCGCTTTGCTTCAGCTCGTCGTGGCGTGAGCCGAGCGACAGGGAGCATCACGGATGTGCCCTCCTGTCCCCTTCGCCCTTTGCGGTTATGGCTCCACAGCTGTCTCCCAGCCCACCCGGTTCCCGAGGGCAGATGGCAGCTCAGCGGCAAAGCAGTTTCCCAGCACGAGAGGACATTTTATCTCGTCACTGGGTGTCCTGAAGACCCAGCAAGGGGACACACTGAGCGCGGAGGAGGACAGAGCGTGGCTGGACCTCGGGGCCCTGGAGACTTACCAGGTTCATCCGGTCGAGGCTCCGTGTTGGCTGTAACACTGCAGACCAGTGGGACGGGTTTTTTTGCTTTTTTTTTTTAAATGTTCCTTTACTTTTGAGAGAGAGGGAGACACAGCATCTGAACCAGGCTCCAGGCTCTGAGCTGTCGGCACAGAGCCTGATGCAGGACCCACGAACCGTGAGATCATGACCGGAGCCAGAGTCAGACGCTCAGCCGACTGAGCCACCCAGGCGCCCGAGACAGTTTTTACTGTGGTGTCTGGATAAATGAGTATTTTTAGAGTTAAGTTGGTTTCCTGTAAATCAGAACCGACTGGACTGTGGGCTTCCTGTCACGACGGGCTAGCTGGTTCAGACCAGCCGTCCCTCCCAGAACATCTAGAAGGGCCAAAGCACAAAACGACCACGGAGAATGGTGGAGCCCCTTTTTCCTGTGGAGCGACTGCCAGTTCTGTAAGCGGCATCTCAGAAGCAAGGAAGTGAGCAGAGCTGTGGCCAGTGCCGAGGGGCCGGAGGGACAAAACTGGTCAGGACCCGTCGAGAAGGGGACTACTGGTAAACCCTTTAGCGGTGGCTCCGGACCCCTCTGGTTACCCAAGCGCTAAGGAGCCAGCCCTCTGGCCTCGAGGCATCCCGGTCCCTGGTGAGACTGAACAGTGTAGGGTGGTATCTCCCCAAGGGGGCCAGTGGAACGAATACCCCAGGAAGAGTGACACATTCGTGTCTCCTTGACGTGTGACAGAGGTGATACGACAGAGCAGGGGTTTGAGGGAAGGACTGTCTTTACCATATGTGATGTCAGGGATGTTGCGTATCACATGGAAAACACGAGGCTTGACCGCACGACAGATCACACAGTCGGTTCCAGGTGGATGGGAACCTACGTGCGAAAGCCACTGACGAACGTAAATGAAGACAGCACCCAGCTTCTAGCAGAGAACAGAGGAGAGCATGTTCGTGACCTTGGGGTAGAGAAGGAGACCGTACGTCCACGCGAGCCGTGAAGGAAGAGACTGGTGGAGTTCGCTACTGAGATGATGGAATTGTAAACAGACACTTTGGAGGGAGCGAACCAGGTGGTCGCAGAGTGGCAGGGGCTCTGGCAAGGGCTCGGGTCAAGGGTGGGCACAGAGTGGCTGCACATCCGGGAGAGGAGCACAACCCAGCTCAGAGACGGGCAAGAGACCCAGGGCGCCGGGGGGGAGGGGGAGGCTCCGTTGGTTGCGCGCCCGACGCTCGACTTCAGCTCAGGTCATGATCCCAGGGTCGTGGGATCGAGCCCCACGTCAGGCTCTGCTCTGACAGCAAGAAGCCTGCTTGGGATCCTTGCTCTGCTCGCTCTCTGCCCCTCCCCTGCTTGCGTACACACACGCTTGCTCACTCCCTCGCTCTCAAACATCTTTACAACACGGGCGAGAGAGGTAATACCTCACCACGGAGGACAGCCCCCACGTGGCCGCTTAAAGGCCGCAGCCTCATGAGCAGTTAGGGAAATGCAAAGACCTGACAGTCAAAAACCCAAAAGCTTCATGCCCTCGGAACGGCCATCGGAGGGCCCGCCCCACCGGGTGCCGGTGAGGATGTGGGGCCGGAGGCAGCGGCTCCTGTCCCGGCTCTCCACGCCGCACCCCCTTCCCGCTTTCCACGCCTGGCGCACCCCTGCTGCTCCTCTGCCCCCTGCCTGGGACCCCCTTCTTCAGCGACGGCCCTGCCGACTGCGGCTCTCCGGCTCTCCGGGCGGAGCCGGCTCCCTCCCGAGACTTCAGGCTCCAAAGCTCGTGCTCTCTTCCTGTCCGGGGCACCCGGCGTGGGCCTGGCCCTCGGCAGGTACTCGGGCAGCGCCGGTGCCCGAGTGATGGCACCAGTCACGTGCACGTGCATCCAAGGGTTTCCCTTTGAAAACGTCTTTGGGTTGTTTACTTCTTCAGGGCATCTAGACCCGGCAGAAAAAGTTGAAGACGCTCGCCCCAAATTATGGTGTGCTCTAAGTGAGGGCAAAGTGATCGTGTTTGACGCTTCCTCCTGGACGATTCACCAGCACTGCTTCCGAGTGGGCACTTCTAAGCTGGTGAGTAAGCAGGGCACTGTGCAGGGCGGCACTTTTCCAGACGAAGCTGCGATTCTGCAAAGACGGAGAAGTCCACCTGGGCCCGGCAGTGGGACAGGGTATCCCACAGCATCACTCCGTATTGTCAATAGCAGGTCTTTAGGTTTTTCTGAGAGAGAGACAAGGCATGTGTGAGTGGGGGATGGGGCAGAGGGAGGGAGAGAGAAAGAGGATCTTCAGCAGAGCCCAGTGCAGGGCTCGATCCCACGACCCTGGGGTCATGACCTGAGCCGAAATCGAGTCAGACACGCAACCAACTGAGCGTCCCGAGAACCCCTGTTTTTATTCTAAGTTTAATTTTTTCATTGTTATGTGCGTTTCAAAGACTTTTTAAGGAATAGAATAACTTAAAATCCTAGTTACAATCAAATCGAAAGGCCGCCTTGTGAGGCCATCTCTGCTGTCCCCAGTCAGGCCAGGTAACAAGTAAAGCAGTAAGTTCTCCCAGTTACATATGTGAAAACACTGTCCTCGTCTCACCGAGATTTTCTTTGCTGTTGAACAGAAAGAAACTTGGGTAATTATCTCAAGAAAGTGCTCCCACCTCTGGACGTTGCAGTTCAGAGCAGGCCACCTGAGGTATCTTTGGGCCGCGAAAGAAAGACATTTTACTAAAATTATACCAGTTCTCAGGGAGATGCCTCAAAAGAAAGGGCTTTTTCCAAATGATTATTTCTGAAATTAGTAAGCGGGCTTCCTTTTCTAATTTATGGGGCTATTTGTCGGTAAAATTAAAGCTAGCAGTTTTTTAGAAACTCTTTCTTCGGACTTCAAGAGGAGGAGCAATGAACCACCGTCCACACTCACTGTGCCTGGGGTCAGATCTGGTCTCACCCCGTCCACCACGATGCCAGGTTTACTCGGAAGCCTACTTGTATTTGGAAATCTGCGTTCGGTTGCCGGGAGAGGGTCGCACGTGTCACGGATGAACACAGGAGAGACCGTCCTCAAGTGGAAAGTGAAGCGGCTCGGGAAACTGCAAGTCAGGAAGGCGTCAGGAACGCCTTTGAGTGACGTGGTTGGATGGGTTGAGATGCTCGCATAAGCACAGCTCTGTTTCACGTGTTTGTGCGACCGTGGGTCTCTCCAGTGTGTCAGTCCTCAATTTCTAATTTCCAAGTCTCCAAAAACAGGGCACCCGGGTGGCTCGGTGGGTTCAGCGTCCGACTTCAGCTCAGGTCATGATCTCAAGGTTCATGAGTTTGAGCCCCACATTGGTCTCTGCTGTCAGCACAGAGCCCACTTCGAATCCTCTGTCCCCGTCTCCCTCTGCTCCTTCCCCTCTCAAAAAGAAATGAGCATTTTTTTTAATAAGTTATACAGGGGCATCTGGGTGGCTCAGTTGGTTAAGCGTCTGACTTTGGCTCAGGTCGTGATCTCACGGTTTACAGGTTCGAGCCCCGCATCAGGCTCTGTGCTGACAGCTCGGAGCCTGGAGCCTGCTTTGGATTCTGTGTCTCCCCCTCGCTCTGCCCCTCCCCCACTTGCACCGTCTCTCGCTCTCTTTCTCTCTCTCAAAACTAAATTAAAAAAACTTAAAAAACAAAGTTACACAAAAACATCTATAAATTACCATTGGTTGTTGACTTTTCTAGGCCGGAAACCCAGAGAACCCTCTCTCGCTACAGAACGGAAAACCGTGGGCAGTTGTGTTTGTGATTAGTCTAGTCAGTCCTCATTATTTGCACATTCCATGTTTGCAAATTCACCCGCTTGCTAGAGTTTATTTTAACCCTGAAACAAATACAGTATTTTCACGGTTATCCGCAGACGCACACGTGCAGAGCGGGGGAAGGAAGGAGCTGTTGGTGTGCGTTCCCAGCCGAGGTCAAACCCGTGGATGCTGTGCCTTGTTTCAGCCCCTGCTGGACACAAGGGTCCTCTTGGCGGCCTATTTAGTGCCATGGTTTTGCATTCTCGTGTTGTAATGGTGATTTTTGCTGCTTAAAATGGCCCCTGGTGTAGAGCTGGGGTGCTGTCCAGTGTCCCTAAGCCCAAGAAGGCCGTGACGGCCCTTCGTGAGAGAGTCAGGCACTAGGCGAGCTGCGCTCAAGCACGAGTTGAAGCGCACTTGGCCAGGAGTCCGGTGTTAATGAGTCAGCAGCGGATAAAAAATCAGATGTCTTTTTTAAAAAAAAATTTTTTTAACGTTTATTTCTTTATTTAGTTAGTTTTTTTTTTTTTAATTTTTTTTTCAACGTTTATTTATTTTTTTTGGGACAGAGAGAGACAGAGCATGAACGGGGGAGGGGCAGAGAGAGAAGGAGACACAGAATCGGAAACAGGCTCCAGGCTCTGAGCCATCAGCCCAGAGCCTGACGCGGGGCTCGAACTCACGGACCGCGAGATCGTGACCTGGCTGAAGTCGGACGCTTAACCGACTGCGCCACCCAGGCGCCCCTAACGTTTATTTATTTTTGAGACAGAGAGAGACAGAGCATGAACAGGGGAGGGTCAGAGGGAGACACAGAATCTGAAACAGGCTCCAGGCTCTAAGCGGTCAGCACAGAGCCCGACATGGGGCTTGAACTCACAGACTGCGAGATCATGACCTGAGCCGAGGTCTGCCGCTTAACCGACCGAGCCACCCAGGCGCACCAAAAATCAGATGTCTTTAGACAGAAGCACTTTGAACACATAACAAGTTTACGTACTGATCGGCAGACAGAAACGTGGCCAGGGCTCGCGGGAACCAAACCCCGGGTCCCCCCCAGGGGCGGAGGTTTGGGGCTTGCCGGGAGTGGGTAGGACAGAGCTCCTGGGAGTAACGAGAGGGGCCAGTATTCGTGACGCGTTCTCCGACCGCTGTCAGAACTGCATGGCGATGGCGGAGCAGAGCCAGGTGTGGGTCGGCTCAGAGGACTCCGTCATCTACATCATCAACGTCCACAGCATGTCCTGCAACAAGCAGCTCACGGACCACCGCTCCGGGGTCACGGGCTTCGCTGTCCAGAGCGGGGCGCCCAGGTACGGCCGGGCCCTGCCGGGAGAAGGGGCCGCTTGGCTCCCGGGCGGGGAGGGCCGGGAGTCCCTAGGGGGAAGGGTCCGCGGTCGCCGTGGCGACTGCCTCCTGGCACCGGGCCGGCCTGTCCTGAGCAAAGTCGCGAGACGTTCTCGTCTGTGTCTGGCCCTGAGTACAGAGGCGCGGGTCTCTGCTGTGGGCCAGCTCCGGGGTGAGCGTGGGGCTCAGGCGGCCGCTTCCTCGCCTGTCCTCGGCGGCTGCCGGTCTGCCCCAAGTCTTTGGCTTGCGGACACAGCATCCCGTCTCTCTGTCTTCACACGGTGTTTTCCGAGTCCAAATCTCCCTGCTGAGGATGCCCGGCATAGCGGATCAGGGCCCATCCTGTTAACTGTCGCTTGAATACTCCCGTAGAGGCCCTGTTTGCAAGTAGTGCCGCGTACTGAGGCCCTGGGGGTTCGTGGTGGCCCTTGGTTGGGGGGTGCAGTCCGACTCCTAACACTTTTGCTTCACTCATTCTTTGTCTTTACCGTACTAAGAACGTCAGCCCGAAGGCAGGCACCCGTGTTCTGCTCTTTGCCGCGTGTCCTGTGCCTAGAACAGGGCCTGGCACACAGTAGGTCCTCATTTACTGTCACCTGCTTCACCACCTGGGCCCGGGGCCCACGGCCCTGAAGCTTGTCTGCTGCCGTCCTCTGTGCCGCCCGCCCCCGCTGCCCTGTCCCTTAGTTTCAGGGGTGCCGTCTGTCCTCAGGCCTGGCTCAGACAGCAGCAGGTGCCGCCCGGAACCTCAGCCGCTATCACGAGGGGAGGGGGCCGGGGCGGCACGTCCTGCGTAAGGGGCGAGATTTCACTCAGCCGCCACGTTAGGGTCTGCGGAGCCGGCAGCAAACACCGACGGGCGAGGACCGGCCTCCTCCGCAAACCGTCTTCTCCTGCGGGATCGGTTAGCCCCTTGCTAATCGTTCCCGCGACACGGGCAGCGTTCGCTTGGGCGAGAATCACCGTGCACGCTGTGGACCTTTATCTAATGGTAACTTCGTTGGCTTCCGTGTCAAGTGTTTTACACCCGTGTGTTCGCACCCCCAGCAAGGTGTATTCGTGCAGCGCGGACGGGACGGTCCTGGCCTGGAACGTGAGCTCCCTGCGCGTGACCAGCAGGCTCCAGCTGCCGGGTGGCGGGCTTTCGTCCATCCGCCTGCACGACGGCTGTCTGTGGTGCTGTAAGTCCTCAGTCTCTGCCCCCACGAGGGGCCCAGAGCCCTGCTCCGGGGGGAGGGAACCCCAGGACGGCCTGCGGCCGGTCTGCTCTGCCTCACGCGTCTTCAGCTGCCTGCCGCCTCCCGTGTCTGCGGCTTCCGGGAGCCCTCTGTGGCCCTGTCTCTGTGTGTCAGCGCGCGGGCTCGGGTTGACCCCACGTTTACCCCTCGGAGAAAGCGTCAGACTCCCCTTGGAAGCTGCCGCCCCACCTTACGTCCCCGCCCGCGGTGTGTGCCAGTTGTGATCCCTCCGCGTCCCCACAAAACGTGTTGCGTTTGGTACCGTAACCACCCTCGTGGGGCCGCCTGCCTTTCCCAGCCGCGTGCTCGTCTGCCGCGCGTGTCGTCCCTGCAGAGACGTGGGCTCGTCAGTCTGCGCACCTGCGGTGCCGTGAGCAGGCTTGCGCACAAGGCTTCTGTCGTCTTCGCGCCTTTCCGTGCCCCACTGCCCCTTCTGTCTTTGTCGCTCCGTTGAAAAGGACGCGGGAAACGAGAACTCCTTACATTCAGTTTTTCTTTTTAGCGCCACATTTTCTGCGTTTTGCTTTACCTTTTAGCGGTTGCTCTAAGAACTGCAACCCGCAGGCTTACCTGTCACAGCCGGCCCGAAGCAACCAGGACCCCCCTCCACGTATCACGTACGCAGCTCACACGAGTATGATCAGTTCCATTTACCTCCTCCCGCCCCTTTGGCTGTCGCTGTTAAGAGCAGTATTTTAATGCCGTCGGGATAAAGCTCGGAAAATATCGTTAACGTTTTTGTTTACGCACCCCCTGGTGTTGGCCTGTACGGTCACCATTTCGGGGGAGCTTCGTGCCTGGTTTGCCTCTGGCATCATTCCCCTTAGTGTTTCTCATGGCCGGAGTCGGCTGTAAACAGACCGATCTTTTCCACACACTCTAGCGGTCTCTTTCCAGTTTTGCGTAGCCCTGTCTGTTCCTGATGAGAAGTCCACCGTCGCTGCTGCTGTTCTGCCGAAACGACCTGCCTGTGGCTGCTTGCGGGCCGTTCTTTGCTTTCAGGAGTTGGGCTACGCTGCGCTCAGGCGGGAGGCCTTCGTGTCTGTCTTGCTTGCTGTTTACGTTCAGTGGGGGAGACTTGGAACCGTTATCTCTTCGAGTATCTCCTTTATCCCTTCTCTTTCTCCATGTCTTCTGGGATCCTGACTTTTTTTTTTAATGTTTATTTTTGAGAGAGAGAGGATGCAAAGCCGGTTCCAGGCTGACAGCAGAGAGCCTGAGGCAGGGCTCAAACTCACAAACCGCGAGATTATGACCTGAGCCAAAGTCGGGTGCTTAACCGATAAGCCACCCAGGCGCCCCTGGGATTCTGTTTATATACATACGTGTGTGTGTATTCATTCTAGAATTATATTGGAATATAAGACATATATTCTAATATACACATTAGACCATTCGATAACACCCCACCTGTCTCAGGCTGTACTTTTTTCATGTTTTTCTCAGCTTCAGTTCGGTTAAGACCTAAAGCTTCCTCTGTCCTGTCTGCTGTTGAACCTGTCCGGCAACTTTTCATTTCAGTCTGAGAGGTTCACGTATTTTACATTTTTAAAGAACCTGCATTTCTCTTCTACATTCTTTGTGCCCATGAGTCCTCTTTATACTTTCCTGGAAGTTATGACATTTGTTTGCAGTCAGAAGTCCTTCTCTGCCGGGTCCCAGGGCATCTGTGGGTCTGCTTCCGTTCACGGCTTTTCTACTGAGTTGTAGGGCTGCCTTCATGCTTGGGGTGTAAAGGGACTTTGTTGTGTCCTGGGTGTTGTGGATGACACATCAAAGAGACTCTGGGTTAAAGCCGCCTTTAAAGAGCATTATTTTATCCTGGAAGGTCGCTAAATGACTGGCCCATCATCTTGAGCCTGTGTAGAGGCTTCCTTTTAGGTTTTTCTTTGGTCGATATATTGCAGTTTTGACCTTGTTCCTAGAGTACATAACGCTTCGTTCTGGCGTAGTCTTTATTTTATACGCATGGCTCTTTGAGGGTCTCAGGGAATTGCCCGAGGCACACACACCGGGCCTTCCCAGCTAGATAAGCTACAGCGTTGAAGTAGGTCTCTTCCTGGGCCAAGGATCTGAGAATTTTTACATAGATGTTTGGGCTCCCTCGTTGGGGGGTGTTCCCTCCCTCTCTTTCCGGCCACACTGGCAGCCTAGCCGTGCCCTCGGCCATGGCGGACTGCAGCATACGCTAGAACACCTTTCCTCGGCGTCCCACAAAGAACCGGGAAGTACCTTTAGGGAAAACCTGGTGTTTCTTTTCTTTCGAGGATCGTAGGCCTCAGCTCTCCCTTATCTCCACGGGCTGTCTGTGTGTGTGTGTGTGTGTGCGCGCGCACGCGTGCACCACCCACCCCTGGATGCATTTTGGACTCAGAGCTGACCAGACCTTGGGCTAAAAGGTGCCTGTTAAATGCAGGGAGGGAGGTAACAGATTAGAGTGAGGACAGATAGCTTTGCTCTAAGGACAGGATCCCTTTTACCTTCCAAGTTAACTGAACACGGTAAGCAGTTTTCCTATTTAACAACAACGAGAAAAGTACAAGACAAACGCAGAGTTTCTTGAGGCAACAGAGAGCACGTGCCTGGAAAGTGTTGTCCCTGAACGAGAGTCACAAGCAGAAATCTGGGTCGCTCATCACATGTTACCAGTGCACATGCCGGGCCTGTGTCCGTGTCTGTGTAAACTCGGGACATCTGTGTGCACTGAGGCGGAACCTGGAAGATCGTGAGCCTGAAGGGACGGAATGTTCTAGCCCAGTAGCACCATGTGAGACCTTCGTGTCTACCCCCGGGGCTGCAGGGGAAGCAGCCCACGCCGTGTGCCCAGGTCATCTCCTGGGTGGGGAGTAGACCCCAGTCCCACACCTGCAGGCGGACGTTTGCACCTTGAGGTTGCTGGCGCACCCGTGGCTCAGGCTGTGGCCTTCAGGTAGGCACGTCCGGGTTCAAATCCGGGCTTGGTCTCTGGGCAGCTGATCACTTTGGGCAGGTCCCTCACGGGCTCTTGGGAGTGTGTGTCTTCGTTGGAAAAGTGAGCTAGAGGGGCGCCCGGGTGGCTCAGTCGGTTGAGCGTCCGACTTCGGCTCAGGTCATGATCTTGCGGTTCGTGGGTTTGAGTCCCACGTCGGGCTCTGTGCTGACGGCTCGGAGCCTGGAGCTGCTTCGGATTCCGTGTCTCCCTCTCTCTCTGCCCCTCCCCTGCTCTCACTCTGTCTCTCTCTGTCTCTCTCAAAAATAAATAGTAAAAAAAGTGAGCTAGAGAGGGTGCCTGGGGGGCTCAGTTGGTGGAGTATTCATTCGGCTCTTGATATCGGCTCAGGTCATGATTGCTATTTGTGAGTTCGAGCCCCATAAGGGCTCAATGCTGACAGCTCAGAGCCCGACTGGGATTCTCTCTCTCCTTCTGTCTCTGCCCCGCCCCCACTTGTGCTCACCCTTGCTCCCTCTCAAAATAAACTTCAGAAAGAAAAGTGAGATAGAAATCCCACCCTCCCCTTCGAGAGCCACGGTCGTTGGCGCGCTGAGCGTTGGTGACGGCAGCCTCTTCTGTCCACGCCAGCTTCACATGCCGGGGCTCGTTCTGCCGGGGCCGCTTCCTGGGGCCACGCGTCCAGCGCACTGAGGAGGGCTCTGGGGAGGGGGACAGAAGTGCCTGTCCACAGGGTGAGCCCAGGTGCTCCCAGCCAGCAGCAGGTGTCCTGGGGCCTCACGGCTCAGTCCAAGTAGGTAAGGGTTTCTGGCTGTCAGGCTCCCCGCGGATGAGGCTTTGCTTATTAGGTCTCAGAAAAACCACACCGAACGGAGCCTAGAAGCAGGAAGGTGATGTGACGGCAGCTCGCACTTTCCGTGACTGAAAACTCAGCTGGGCTTCCAGTCCTGGGGTGGCCACGGCCGGCAGGGGTCCCTGTGTGTCAAGGCCGAGTGCCGGGGGTCCTGTGGTCCGCTCGCAGGGGACGGGAAGCCAGAGTGGCACAGCCCGGGGCCGCTCCCACGTTCCACCTCACGGGCTGCTGTGCCCTCCTGCCCCCGTGTGTGCGAGGCTGGCCCGGTGGCCGCAGCGCCGGGGGCGGGCGGCCGAGCAGGAAGCACGGAAGACAAGGACGGGCTTCGCGGCGTTTCCGTCCCTCCGTGTCCGGGGCTGCCCCGCAGCCGGTGTCTCCACGTTCCCCGCTGCCCGGAGCCTGGTGACCTACAGCTCTCGGGACGTGCAGACGCTTGGCTTGCAAGACGACCTTTTCCTTGAGCCGTAAACGGAAGCACTTAAGTGGCCTGTGGCGCTGTCCCCTATAGTTCTAAGTGCCGACAGGGTGAGGGCAGGCCGCACCTTCTAGTGACAGGAGGAGACCCGGAACGTCCGCATTTGCAAAGCCTCAGGAGGGGCCGCGGGGCGGACGGGTCACCGGGGTCCTCGGAGCAGCGTGCCGGCGCCCGAGCCGGCACCAGGCGGCAGCCGGTTGACCCTTCCGGCGGCCCCGGGGCACCCGCCTTCCCTCACGCTGGCTCTTCTGCTCCGCAGGCACAGGTAGCGGCATCGTGGTCGTGACGACAGGTGGATCTCTTCGTCAGGAACTGAAGGTGGAGGAGAACTCTAAGGACGCGAGCACCTCCTTCCTGGGTTTCCAGCTCCTCCCCGAGGTACCCATCCCGGCAGCGCCCTCCGGCGGCACAGCGGAGCGGGCGCGGCCACCAGCCACACTGTGATTCCCGTTTCAGCAGGAGCAGCTGTGGGCGGCGTGTGCCGGGCTGGACGGCGTCTACATCTGGAGCCTCAGGGACCTGGCCCGGCCCCCTCAGCGGGTCCACCTGCAGGACTGCGCCGAGGTCAGCTGCATGATCAGGGTGAAGAAGCAGGTACGGCCGGGGCCACGCCTCCCCGGAGCACCCCCCCGCCCCAGGCTCCTGCCCTGCCCTCGAGGCCGGTCCGGGAAGGACTGGATTTGGGGGCACACAGGGGTCTCCCCGCCCAGGCCCGGCGGCGTGTGGCCGACGCCCCCTCCGTCTCTCCTTGGCAGATCTGGGTAGGCGGCACGGGCCGGTCACAGGGGAAGTACAAAGGGAAAATCTATGTGATCGACGCCCAGAGGAAGACAGTGGAAAAGGAGCTGGTGGCCCACACGGACGCGGTAAAGACCCTGTGCTCGGCAGAGGACAGATACGTGCTGAGCGGGTCGGGCAGCGGGGAGGGGAAGATCGCCATCTGGAAAGTCGAGTAAACGTGGGTGAACGTGCCGAGCCGGGCTGTGCTCTGAGGGCCTCGTGCCTTCTGCCCCTTGCCGGCGCTCCCCGGAGAAGGTGGCCGGGGGTGGGGGCCGGTCTGGGCCCCGCTGGGGGCGGGGGCACCGCCGTGTCCCCTGCACGTGCCGGTTTGGCTCCTCGGCCTCCTGACGCATAACGCACTTTCTCTCTCGCACTTTCCTGATTAAACTGTGCCAACGGTGTCTCGGGTTGGGGTGCTTCTCAGGCAGGCGGATGCATCAACTTGCTAATAACCTCTGTGAAGTTACCCAGTGTTGTCTAGAAGGTTCCAGAACCCATGACCAAGAGCGAGCGCCGGAGCCGGTTGGAAGGGATTTAGCCAGATCACATACAACCTGCAGACCTCATTTCTCTGGTTCTGCCTTCTCTACTTCATTCAATGAATACATTCTAAGCATCAGGCTTACAGGAGACCTACGGCCTTCGGTTGGCTTCTTGTTGCCAGAAAAGTTCACGAGAGGAGGTGTTTTTTAAATGACCGCTTTGTGGTTGAACGGATTTGTGCCTGCCCTTGCTTTCCCCATCAGAGCAGGTGACCCAAAAGGGGACAGGGAGGGGACAGAATGCGATGAAGGTGTGTGCACAGGGGTTGGGCTCACTGAGGCAGGATCTGGATTTAAGGTGAAATTCTTATAATGAAGAAACCTAGAGAAACTTTTCTACCAAAGATCACAGATGAAAACTTTCGTATAAAATAGCACACACAACCTCGTCTTCCGGTGAAGTTGCCGTCATTTACCTTAACGTACGTTTCACCTGTCTGCATGTGGAGTGCACGCCAGACATGTCTGTAGGAGGTGCTTTATTATTTAACCGAAGATGATCTCATTAGCTCTAAATAACTACACATTTGCAGAAAAAGACCTTTTATACGTTTGTACTATAACATTGAGATTTCATTCTCTCCGGGTCCAACAGGGAGGGTGTTCTGGTATGGTTATGGGCTGAGGAGGGGCACCCGCCTGACGCACCGTGTGAGGGCCCGTGGCCTGTCCCCCGTGGACCCGCCACGAGCTCAGCCGCGGAGGGGCCTGCTGGACTCTGCCCTGGGTTTTTGGAATCAGACACTGTGCTGGACCTCACTCACCCTGGGAGGTCTCAGAGGGTCTCTGGCCAAGTTCTGGTAGCATCTACAGGATCTCCAGACGAAAGCTTTGACCAGGCCCCGGGCTGGGTCTACAGGACCTAAGCGTTTTGCAAGGTCCAGACCACTGACCCAGATTTTGGGGTGCTCTGGGAATGTGGTACAGAGAACAGCCAGGTGGGCTCATGCCCCCATGACTGTGCTTACGAAGGGGGTGTGCTCCCGACTTCCAGAAGGAAGACTCGGCCATAAACAAAGCGTGGGAGGTTGAATTCTGCTTTTGCAAACACATGGAAGATTGCGGTCAAATCCTGTCAGAAACACACATGAATTATTTAATGTCCGTCCCCACGTGACCAGGCGTTTTCACCTTGTCAACAGTAAATTCCTTTATTAAAGACTGAGGTCTTGTTTTCGTTCTTTATCCAACATTAACCGGTGGGAGAGATCTGTGAAATAAGACAGGACCCCTTTGGATTTGCTGTTAATTCCGAGCGCCCATCAAGTTGTTCTAATGCAGGCGTTTCATTTCCTTTATTGTTGGTGATAATTTCCAAGATCTTACTTGACAGTGATAGAGTGGCCAGTGGGGCTTGTTGAAATGGAAAGGGCGCTTTATGCCTTCGGTATTTCCTCGGTGACCTGAAGAGGGTCCACGATGACTGAGGTGTCGTGGGAGAGCCCCAAATGAGCTGGAATTCATTCAGCAGACAATGCCTTCCTTGCCTTGGCTTCAGGAACCTGAATTCAGTTGGTACCAAAAAAGTGTTTATCTTGTAGTAGAAGCCAGTCTATTGCAGCTTCAGCTCTCCAGCTGTATTTCAGACAACGGGAGAGAAAGCTTGCTTTTGGGTGCTGGCACGGCTCCACAGCGCCAAGTCTTGCCCCACTTTAACTTACTGCTGAAGTTAAAGATGATCACTGGTCTTGGTGATTTGTTCTCCGAAGATGTGAACTCACCGGCTGCTCTCAAATACAGCCTTGGTATTGGATGTGATCATAACGTCTGAATTAAAAGTGCATGACTTCTGTCCATTCCTAGAAGATCCCTTAGGAAGACGAAGGGGTGCTCTCTCCCCGTGGCTGAGGAGGGTGTGGATAGAAAGCCAGGCAGAGTTGCCCTGCTGTCTCCAGTGCCTGGAAGCGTTTGTATTTCTTACAGCAACGCCACGAGGCCCCCAGGAGGTGAGGCAGAGAGGCTCATCTGTGAGCCGCCGCTCAGCTGTACGTGACCCCAAGCGCGCACAGGGACTCCAAAGCTCTGGATTTCTGTGCCCTGGACTAGAGAGGGGGCCCGAGGCCCTGGGTGAGGCCACGAGGCCGGCCCCCTATAAAGCGGAGGGCGTTCCTTCATGCTGGGTTGGTTTGGTGGCTGTGAAGGGCATTCCACTGCTGGGCCCAGAACAGCCCAGGGAATATCCACCCAGGCTGCTTGCCGGGCTCTTGTGAAAATATTCAGAAAGAGCTTGTAAAGATGCAACAGTGGCTGAACTAGGCTGAGCAGCGGCCCTTTCTGAGGCCCTGCCCCCAGAGGCTGTGGGGGTGGCCCTAGAGATCTCCAGATGAGGTCATCCTGGCTTAGGGAAGGAGGGCCCTAAATACAGTGACAGGTGTCCTTAGAAGAAGAGAAGACACAAGAGACCACCAGGCACATCATCTACAAGAGATGCACGTTAAATATACAAACACCCGGGAGAAGAGCCCGGGGGCAGTGGGCGGGGGTGGGGTGCATACCGCTATGCGTGTCCGACAAAACAGCCTCCAACTCAAGGTACAGACACGGTGTGCGTGGTGCTGAAAAGGCAACTCAGTTCATAGTGATGCCATTATTAATTCATACATGTAATAATCCTGGAGATTCGAGACCCTTGAGGGAAACGTGGAGGAACCATAGGAGGAGATGGTCGCGTCCACGGTAGTTGGGAGACGTTAACACCCTTCTCTTCGGTAAGTGACAGAACCAGTGGACAAAACATTGACAAGCACATAGAACATTCCCCACCGTCCACCAGCGAGACCTGGCATTATACGTTACCCCTCACAATAGCAGAATATCCCTTCTTTTCAGGTGCACATGGAGTGTTCACCAAGCTAGACCATGTGCTGGACCATAAAATAAGTGAAAAAATTTAAATCTTACAGGGTATGTTCTCAGACCATACCAAAACTTAAACTGGAAATCAACAGCAGTAATTGCCTAAAAGTCCCCAAACTGAAATTATGTTGCAAATTAAAAATTACTTCCAAATAACCTATGGGTCAACAGTATCACAAAGGAAATTAGAAAATACTAAATCTGTGGGATGCACTTAAAGCAGTCCTTAGAAAAGCTATATAGCTTTAAGTGCCTCTATTTTTTTTAAAGGGCTTTGTAATTTATTCTTTTTCTTTAAAGCTTGTTTATTCACGTTGAGAGAGTGTGTGTGCGCATGTGAGCGAGGCAGGGGCAGAGAGAGGGAGGCAGAATCCCAAGCAGGATCCATGCTTTCAGCACAGGGCCCGATGTGGGGCTCGATCCCATGAACCGTGAGATCATGACCTGAGCCGAAACCAAGGGTCAGATGCTTAACCGACTGAGCCACCCAGGCGCCCCCAAATGCCTCTACTAGAAGAAAGGTTTACAATTAAACCTCCATATTTAATCCAAAATAAGTAAAAGAGGGAAATAACAAAGATAAGACCAAAATCAATGAAATGAAAAACAGAATCGACAAAGCCAAAAGTTGGTTCTGTAAAGTAATTGGTAAAGTCTAGTAAAACCAACCACGAAAAAAGGGGCAAATTATCAACATCATGAAAGGATGATCTCACTGATAGACACCCAACACGGTACCATGAACAACTTTATGGCAACAAAGTTGATTCAATATACACATTTCTTGAGAAACACCTTCATGAAACCAGCGCAAAAAATAGAAAACAGCCCTGGGAGCCCCGAGGGCACAGTTGCTTACGTGTCTTGATTTTAGCTCAGGTCATGATCTCCTGGTTCTTTGGGATGGAGCCTCTTACAGAGCTCTGCACTGACATTGTGGAGCCTGCTTATTCTCTCTGTCTCTCCCCCCACCTCCCCATGCGCTCTCTTTTTCTCAAAATAATCATTTAAAAATAATATTAACAGTCCTACATCTACTAAGGAAATTGACTTTAGTCAAAATCCTTCCCACTCAGAAAACCCCAGGCCTTGTGGATTTCGTTGGTGAATCTAACAAACTCTTAAGGATGGAATATTGAAAACCCACAGAAATGTCTCAGGATGGAGAGCACTTCCTGATTCACTTACGAGACCAGTGTGACCCTGTACTAGAATCTGACAAAAATAAAATTACAGATCAGTTCCCCTCAACCCTGGATGCAAACTTTCTGAACAAAATGTTAGCGAACTGAATCCAGCAACATTTTAGAAGGATAATACAGCATGACCAAGTGCATCCAGAGATGCAACGTTAATTTAACACTTGAAAATCATCTGTAAACTCCACGTTAGCAGAACAAAGGAGAAAAGCCACAACTGTCATCTCCACAGATGCCGGAAGAAACGGACACAGTAAAATAGCCATTCACGATAAATATGCTGGCAAACTGAAAGGGAACTTCCTCAGACTGATAGCACCCTCGGGAACCTGCCGCAGACGTCATACCTGATGGTGGCCATCTGGCTACTCCCCTCCCCTCTAAGACGGGGGACAGGGTAAGGACGCACACTTTCGACCCCCCATTTGACACCGCACGTCACGTCCTGGCCAACTGCATGAAGGCAAAAATAAATAATTAGAAGATTGGACCAGAAGGACAAAACTATCAGGGCACCTGGGGGGCTTAGTCAGTTGAGTGTCTGACTCTTGATTTCTGCTCAGGTCAGGATCTCAGGGT